CTGATCTTATAAACACCAGACAAGTTATATCTTTTAGACAACCAACTTATATATACTGTTGTTATAAAATATTCCATGAAGAATTAGAATTAAATGATCCACATAGTCAAGAATATTACCAAACAGGATTAGAAAAAAGAACTCTTGTTCATTATAAAGTTTGTAATTATCAGAAACCTAGAACTAGAGTGCATCGATTAGAAAGCATTCGAGAAGAGCTTTGGTTTTGTGAATTAAAGTATATATATATATAAAAAGTATGTCAAGATCTAATTTACAATAAAAACTATAAGATTTGGGCAGGAATTAGACATTATACCAAATCTAGCCAGAATGCAGAATACTAATATAATCTTAATCAAAGTAAAATTTATAGACTGGCTCAAGCTTTATTAGAAAATGAAAATTCTAGCCAAATAATAAAATTATTAATAGAGCAAGATAATGATCAATATAATTATAATTAGACTATTGATAAAATTGATATTCTTCTTTAAACAAACCAATAAGCAACTTTAACTGAAGAGGAAGAAGCTACTCTACAAAGAATTTTACAAGAGTCATTTAATATTTTACAATCTAATTTTAACTCTTGCAAGGCCTTAGAAAATTTATATAAAAACTTTGAAAGCAAAGTAGTATTTTGCTTGGAGTATCTTCATGCTAGACAAACTGAAGAGTTAAAGATAAACCAAAGACTCTGCAATTAGTGTTATTAGAAGCTAAATAAGTTAACACTCTTAGAAAATATAAAACCAAAAGCCTCTACTTCTGATATTCTAATAAATAATAAAGAAAAGATTAAACCAATAACTAGAAACAAAGAAAAAAAAAGAAGTAGATACAGAAACCCAACAAGAAATTATCAAGTGTCTAGAAGCATGTGTTCAATATTTAGAAGAATGAATAAACAATTAACAAACTTCTTCAAAAAACAAATTTTATATCATCAAGAATAAGCTGAATATTATTCTAAACTATACTCTTAATAAAATTTTTAAACTATTCTAGACATAATGAAAAACTATCTGAAGACTTAGAAGATTTATCATATCAGCATATTTGTAGAATTTTGATAAATAAAAAAACCCATAAACTGTAACTCTGGTCAAATTTGCAGATCATTTGGCCTAGTTTGAAATTATTTAACTTTAAAGCTAGCCAAATAATCTGCAAATTTGACTTGAGTTATAGTTCATGAGTTTTTCTATTTATTAAAATTCCACAAATCTGCCAATATGCCAACAGAAGAATAAGCCTTGCAGCTGGCTCTGCAAAAGAATGCAATAAAATATAACTTTGTATATATCAAAGACACTTTAATTCTATATAAGGAATATGTATTAAATACAGTTAATATTGAACTATTAACTAAGAAGCAAGAAAAGAAATTTATAGCCTTATTAGAAGAATTTGCAAACCTATTTGCAAAAGATATTTCAGAACTAGAATATACCAACACAGAATTTATATAAAAGATATATCTCTAATAAAATCTTGACCTTATAATATACCCCAGATAAACAGGACTTCATCAAAGAAGAAATAGGAAGGATGCTAGAAAGTAAAATAAGATTTTGCATTGATTATAGAAAACTTAATAGAATTATTAAAAAAGATATATATCTATTATCTCAAATCCAAGAAATACTAAACACTCTATCTAAATTAAAATAGTTTTCGACTCTTGATCTTGCTAGCAGATATTGGCAAGTTGAAATAGATCCAAAAGATAGAAAAAAGACTACATTTATTATAAAGTATAGAATATATAAATTTAATATTATGCTCTTTGAACTTTGCAATACCCTTGCTATATTTTAATGATTAATTGACCAAGTTTATAGAGGAATTGCTTGAAAATTTGTAGTTATATATTTGGATAATAATAATATATTCTCTAGAATATTTGAGAAATATTTAGAACATTTGAAAATAGTATTTAGACATATTAGAAATGTAGGATTAAAACTTAATATAGAAAAGTATAATTTTTAAATGAAATTTTTACTCTTCTTAGAATATATTATTAGTAAAAATGGGATAGCCCCAGATCTAGCAAAAGTAAAAAATCCAACCTCCAACTAATACTACAAATTTATAATTATTTCTTAGACTAGTTAAATATTAGACCATGTAAAATTAATTAATTAGTTTTTATAATCTAGCCGGGCCAAAATTTAAAAACTTCTAAAAAAAAATTTTATATATTTTAATAACCAGGTAGGTTTTAAAAAAAAATTTTTAAATAAATTTTATAAAATTTTATATAAAAAATTTAAAAAAAAAAGCTGGCTAGCCGAGTCTATTTTTAAATTTAATGTTATGAAAACCAAGTAATTAAATTTGTATAGCCTTACTAACAGTTTATCTAAAATTTTTTATCAGTAGCTCAACTAGTGCTTGGCACAATCAAACAAAAATTTGACAGTCAAATACTTGTTAATATTTATGTTTAAATCAGACATCAAACAATTGCAGATTAACCAAAGCTAAATATATACTATTGGTTAATCTGTAATCATTTGATGTCTGACTTAATCACAAGTATTAACAAGTATTTGACTGTCAAATTTTTGTTTGATTGTGCCGAGCACTAAGCTCAACCACTAAATCAACTACTACATAAAGATATACTATATTATTAAGAAAGTAAACAACAACAAGCATTTAAGATATTAAAAGAGAAACTTATAACAGCATCTATATTAGTCTATCCAGATTTTAGCAAGAGGTTTATACTTGCTACAAATGCTTTATATCATGAATTTGAAGCCACTTTTAGCCAAAAAGATAGAGATAGCAAAGAGCACCTTATTGCATATGCAAGTAAAAGTCTCCAATTTGCTAAACAAAATTATTTTGCAACAAAACTTGAATGTGCTACTATAGTAAAAGCTATAGAACATTTTTATAGCTATTTGGAAACTACTGAATTTATTCTCATAACAGACCACTTAGCATTAAAATGGCTTAAAATTGCTAAATCTAAAAGATGAATTGGATGATAGATTTTGAAACTCCAACTCTATAATTTTACAATTTGTATATAAACCTGGAAGAATTCACTTAAATGTGGATGCTTTATCAAGAATCTGATTAAAATATAATACTATGAATTTAGATCAGTATTATAATTTATATAATTATTTAAATATAGAAACTATATCTATGGACTTTACTACTTATTAATAAAAACAACTCTAGAATCAAGCAAAATATTTTAAGATTAAAGACAACTTTTTGTATAAAAGAAATAGAAAAAATCTAAACAAGCTATTATAAGTTATAAAATAGATGAAAGTAGATCTAGTACTCTATATGATACATAGTCATCCTACTGTAGAACATTTAGAAATTGATGCTATGTATTATAAAATTTTAAAAAGATACTATTGAGATAGAATATATAGAGATATTAGAGAATATATTAAAACTTGTAAAGTTTGCTAAAAACAAGGCAAGTTATGAAGAAAAGAACCTTTATATTCTATAAAGATTGGACAAGCCTTCAAACATGTTGAAACAAATCTAGTAAGATTATTACTTATTACTAACTAGAAAAATTACTATATTATTGTTGCTACCAATTATCTAATATAATAGTCAGAAGCACAAGCTATACCTGATGCTAGTGCTGCCACACTTGCTCAATTTATATTTACTAAAATAGTTTGTAGATATGAAATATTTAAAATCATTATCTCAGATAAAGAACCAAATTTCAGAAGTGATATGATTAAAATCTTGTATGAAAAATTTTTAAAATAATACAAATTTTCATCACTATATCATTTACAAACTAATAAAATAATTGAATAATTAAATAGAACACTATGCAAATCACTTGCAAAAGTTACTACAAGCAAGGATTGAATATTTACTTATCCTCTATATTATTTGCATACCAAACTAAAAAGAATACAACTACAGAATATACTCTATTTCAGTTAGTTTATAGAAGACAAGCTACATTACTAATTGAATTAATTTTACCAACTTCAGACTAGAAAAAAATATAATAACATTACAATAAAAACAAAAAGAAAGACATAATACTTGAATAATACTAATAGAATTTGAAATTGAGGATAAAGTTTGAATTCAGTATAAAGATATTGCTACTTCATATTTTGTTAAATTTGAAAAAAAAGAAAAAAGAACCTTATACAATATATGCCAAACTTGAAAATGGATATATATAAACTATGAATAGACAAAGAACTAATTTTGAAGCAGTATTATAATAGTGATAAACTTAAAAAATATTACAAATAACAAGGATAAAAACTACAAATTATTATCAAAACTTAATAAATAAAGACTTATAATTTTACTAATACTTAGCTAATTTTATTAGAGAATTTATTATATATTTTTATTAGGCAAAAATAAAGTAGACCCATCGCTATGTGACCTCTATATGATCAGCCAATTATTTTTTAGATTGGCGATTATATATAAATAATGATTATTAGCAATCTAAATAAGGTTTTTTTTTTTCTAGCAATAGTTGTCGCTTTGGGGGTACTTTTATTGCTGGTATAGTTTTGTTGTTGGTGCCATTTTGACAGTGATTCCATTATAATTATTCTTTTGAGATAAGTGGCTTTTTTCTTTGCTCGCTTTTTTTTTTTTTCTTTCTTAGCAGTAACATTGTTAAAGCTTTCATCATTTTGGTAAGTATTGTTAGTGTTTGAGATTTTTTTTTCTTCTATTAATGTTTCTCTAACTTTGGAGTAATAGAGATTCTTGGTCGGTTTGTTTGGAGTGTTTTTTTTTTTTATATATATTAATGTTTTTCTTATCTTGAAGTAGTTTTCAAAATGTTTTTCAGTTTCGCTTTGCTAGGAATTCCAGGCTTCGTCATTTCAGTGTTGCTGGTAATTTTGGCTTTCACCATTTTGGTAACGTCATTAAGGTTTTTGGCTTGAAGTTTTTTCTAATAAGTCTTGTTGGTTTGTTTAGAGTTCTTTATTTTTTTATATTAACATTTTTTCTTACTTTAAGTAGTTTTCAGAATGTCTTTCAGTTTTGCTTTGCTGGGGATTCCAGGCTTCGTGTTTTGGTGTCATTAGTAATTTTGGCTTTTGACATTTCAGTGATATCATTAAGGTTTTTTCCTTGGAGTTTTTTCTGATAAGTCTTGTCAGTTTGTTTAGAGTTCTTTTTTTTTTTTTTTTATATTAACATTTTTCTTACCTTGAAGTAGTTTTTGAAATGTCTTTCAGTTTCGCTTTGCTAGGGATTTCAGGCTTCGTCATTTTGGTGTTATTGGTAATTTTGGCTTTTGCTATTTTGGTGATGTTGTTAAGGTTTTCATCTTGGAGTTTTTTCTGATAAGTCTTGTTGATTTGTTTAGAGTTCTTTTTTTTTTTATTAATGTTTTTCTTGGAGTAGTTTTCGGAATGTCTTTTGGTTTCACTTTGCTAAATACTTAATTGCTATCATTTGTAAGGATTCCAGGCTTCGTCATTTTGATGTCATTGGTATTTCTGGCTTTTGCCATTTTGGTAACATCATTAAGGTTTTTGCCATTTTGGTGCCTTGGAGTTTTTCTTTATTATTCTTTTGAATAGTTTGTTTGGGGGGTTTTTTTTTCTACTAATGTTTTTCTGACCTTAGAGTAGTTTTGTAGATTCATAAACATGCTTTGCAGCTTCACAACTTTATGAATATGCTTCATGGACATAGTTTTTTTTTTTTTTTATTTTTATAGACTTGTCTTTGTCACTATGATGTAATAATTTAGTAATAAATCAGGATAATTAATTTTTAATAAAATAAAATTTTTGTGTTATTTGAGTTTAGAACTGGGTTGATTTTTTATATATTAAACCGATTGAGCCGGTTTAGTATATATGTGATTATGTGGTTGATTTTTATTAGTTAATTAAGGGTTGCCATGGCAATAGGTCACTATAAAATAATGCCCTTTTTATTATATATAATTTTTTATTTTTTTTTTATTTTTATTTTTTTAATAAATTGCTTATACGCTGTAATTTTTATTAATTAAGAATTTAAAAACTTATTACATATTGTGTATTACAGGAATTAAGTTGTGCTACATTAGTCTATCTAATGACACCCACTCTAAGCAATTTAGTCATATTTTTGTTATATCTTAGAATTTAATCAATGGCTATTACCCTATTAATCAACTTCTAGCTAGTGTATGACCTACCTTTTCTCTATATATAGTTTTCTGTATTGTTATTAGTATCTTGTCCTCCTATCTACTTCCTGCAGTAACTTTTTTTTCCTCTCAATTTGGTTCATTTCAGCGGTTTTTCGCTCTTGTTGCTTACAAATTGGTGTATATGGCTTTATATTTGATTTAGTACCACTCTGATTTGGATACATGTTGTGCTGCCGTCATCATGTTCGTATCTCAAGCCAACTTTTGGGGTGCTACCGTAACATGATCCGTATCTCAAGCCACAACCTTTCCAAACAGGCATGGCCAGATTTATTAGAATTTCTGTTTGTTGCTCTGTAGTGTACCACTTGCCATTAATGATACTACCAAAGTTGGTATTGTCTGTAGCATGAGCGCTAAAGGCTTCTCAGTGTATCCGTTTTTACATGTGGGTGTACTACTGATGATTGTTTTCACTTCTAGCTTAGTGCTGCAAGGAGACCTAGAACCTTGACTAACAACACACTGGCATGGCACTCATTACTGAAGTTAGTAATGTACGACACAATACCTAATGCAACTTCTAACCTTATATGGGTGCCAGAGGTATTTCCAAAATTTAATTAGACCAATTCTTTTCCACAGATCTTTACTATATCCACCGCTTCACTCATCACTTCCAGTTTGGACATTAGTATTACCCTCCCAAACAAGATCCCAGACCCCTGGGTTGTTAGTACTACCATGCAGATTTATTACTATATCCACTGTTTCACTCGTTACTTCTAGTTTTAGAACATTAGTATTACTCTCCCAAGCAAGATCCCAGACCGCCTGGGTTGTTGGTGTTATCTAAGTGCATCGAGGATTTACACGCACAACTTATTTGTCCTAAAACCTTTTATGATACCGCTTGTCAAACATAATGCCAACTCTCTATAGTTTTGATCTCCACAGATTAACATGTGCAACCTATTGTCCAGACCTTCTATGATGCCACTTGCCAAACATGATACTAACTCTCTATAGTTAGATCTCTTTCTGAGAATTTCCTATCAAATCTGTACTATACTTGGACTTTCACAGGGCTCCGTGTTCGATTTTGGCTCCTCACCTGTAGGTTATAAAGTTTTTTCCACCTCTAGCCCGACTCAAACCATAGATCTTGACCTAATTTCCATGGGGGTTTGGCAACTTAACAATTAAGCTATAGAGCCCAAAACTCTATATAATTTTTTAAATTAGATTTAAAAAATTAAAAATTAAAAACTTTATTATAAAAATAAAAATAAAAATAAAATAAAGAAACTACAAAGAAAGAAAGAACTACTAGCCCAATTCAAGAAAATCTCTGACTACTCTTTAACATACACCACAATGCCAAAATTTTTGCCTTCAAATATTTAATCTCTATTACCAAATTATAACCCTAACTCACAATCTATTTTACTTCAAATGCAATATATTTAACTAAGTTTTATATTAATAGTTTTGCTAAACTAACTTAATGAAATCATGCTCTTGCTGCTGTGCTTGCAGATTTGCTACTTGATTCTGCAAACTTCAAATTATTGCCCAGACAGATTGGCTATAGTTAGTGCAAGATATCTAAATAGTAACAACAAAAGTGTTATTAAAAAAAGAACACTTTTTTCAAGTAAATATATTTAAAAATGAAAATATAGAAAAATAATAAATATCAAAAAGGAAAAGTATCTATCCAAGGCCAAATAGTTAAAGACAACTAAGCAAGCTGAAGCTGCTATGAAGCTACCAAGAAAAGTCAGCTTGCTTGAAATGGATAACTGGTAATTACTCTGAAAGTATTAATACTAACAAAGTTGAGTTCATGGTCTAAAAAGTATACACACTTTAAAATAAAAGCAAGAGACAAGGCAAGCAAAACAAGAAGAAATTTGCAAAAAACTATAGCAAAAAGAAAAAAAAAAGTATTAGATAAGAAAAGTTTTTAATATAAAGAAATAATAGAAAGAATAGTACCAAGAAAGAAAAAGTTGTGTGTATAAAAATTAGAAAATGAAATACACAGAAAACATAAATATAAATAGAATTTGAACAATAAAATAATTTTTCTAAGATTAGTTGTGTATCCGCTCAACGGAGGAATGCAAGCCGGTAATTAGTCGGTGCAAACCCAGGATAAGTCACAAAAGTCCTAAGGCAGGGTGCAAAATCTAGAGGAACGGGCCAGATGGTAGTTCCCGAGTTAGTATGATAGGTTATAAATACAGTTAGGATCAGAAGGTTTAAAAGGGTAACTCCCTAGTTGGGTTATAGGTAC